AACACCAAGCTATTGATTTTGCAGCTGATCTACCAATAACTAATAATGCTTGTACCACTTTCAGACACTAAATTATTTGACCGCGTTGTCTCGGGCAGCACCTAACACTCTGCACGAGTTACTTGCTTGTCGAGCTCTGACCTTCTACAATGGCAGATGCCTCCCTCTCCATCCTACATGGTACAGATCCAACCCACAGGGCTTGCTGCGGCTCTACTGCGGGCACTTTAAAGCAGCTTGATGTGATGATCAGTAACTTCTGGGCGAAGCTGCAGGAACTTATTATTTCCACTCAATGGAAGCTACAATTAAGTCTGTAGAATCACAGGAAGCTAACTACCATGGATTCATCAATCCTAAGAGAAAACCTTTCTGGAATCCACTCAAACTCCTCCTAAACGGGATTATTATGTAACTAACATAAATTAAGGTCATAATTCCCCCATTAGATAGTTTGAATATAAGTCAAAACTAGAGTTTCCTGGCTATATGTATACGTATGTGTACATGTGTAAGTGTGTGTGTCTGTGTATGCTGGATATAGGCCTTCATGCAAATCCTGCAACTCTTGGATGGGAATTCATGCATTCTTAATATAAGTAATTATTTAGTTTTTATTCTTCCCTTCTAGCACCATATTCTGGTCTGTTTGCTTGGTTTTTTTTTTCTCTCTCTCACCCCCTCACTCTGTGATCTTCACACAAAAAATGTACGAACCTCTGCAAGAATGGTGTCTATTTTCTATGAAACCTTTGTCTTATCTGCACGTCACTTTAACCTCTGTATCACAACTCAACTTTGAGTTCTATGTGTCATCTTGCTCAGAAATGCTTTAGACTTGAGAAAGGGAGGTTCTCCCGAAAGCTTGTCATTAAAAACTTCTGTTAGTCCAATAAAAAAGGTATTACAAGATACAAATTGTATCTGTTTTTTACATCTTCTATCTATCTATCTTTCTCTCTCTCTCTCTCTCTCTCTATATATATATATATATATATATATGTTGTAAAGTATAATCCAAATCAGTGTGAAATCTAGAAAAGGATTCACATGATGACTGGCTGTCTAGCATAGAAAATAAGCCACAATTTGAATTTCTTAGTCTATTAGAGGTTAAAAAAAACTATTTAAATTGTCACAGGTAACACAGAAATCTGAGGCTAATTTCTGCAGTAAATTCCAAGCCAGTGCGAATCTTCAAAAGAAATCGCATGCTGACTGAAGTGCTAGCAGAACAAAATCTACCACAATTAGGATACCATGAAGGGTTCCGATATCTCATTAGCAGTACAGCCCTCACATAACAAATCCACTCTAAATGTTATGAAATCAAACGGTTACAGATCAAAAAGATCATAATGGATAAGCTATATTGAATTTATATACATAGGCCAATATCACTCAGAGCTCCCAAATTCCACCCTCCAACTTTGCTTCTTTGAGACAGCCCCACTATTATAATGATAAATGCTTCCTATTGTAATAATAGTTGTACAGTGATGGCTACATTCAGTCCATCAATCTAAAAACACACGCACAAGTGGCGTCTACTAAATTGGGGTTTTGGTGCTGGAACGCGCCTTTTTCAAGATAGCTTGAAGACTGGTTAGGAGCATCTTTTTGGTGTTTAGATATTGTTTTATATTAGCTAATGTCTTGACCATGTTCTTTATTGCCAAGATTACTTAGACATCTCTGCATAATGGAGTCTAACACAAAATGGACTATTTGTAAGTCTTATTGACATCTATTTGAGAGTTGCACATGCCACTTGCTTGAATCTAGTATAAAATACAAACAAGATAGGGATCCAGCTGGTATCACTAAAACATATAAATAAAATACAACGTAGTATAATATTGTTACATAGTTACATAGTTACATAGCTGAAAAGAGACTTGCGTCCACCAAGTTCAGCCTTCCTCACATTTGTTTTTTGCTGTTGATCCAAAAGAAGACAAAAAACCCCACAATTTTGCAACAAGCTAGGAAAAAAATTCCTTCTTGACCCCAGAATGGCGGTCAGATTTATCCTTGGATCAAGCAGTTATTACCCTACATTGAAAGATTACCGTATTTTTCGCTCCATAAGACGCACCTCACCATAAGACGCACCTAGTTTTTAGAGGAGGAAACCCAGAAAAAAAAATATTCTGAACAAACTGTTCCATAGTGTTTCTTACCATGGGACAGTTTGTTCAGAATATTTTTTTTTCTCCCCTGTCCCATAATGATCTTTAACCCTGTCCCTTTCCTCTGTCCCATAGTGATTGTTAACCCCTCCTACCCTGTCCCATAGTGATTGTTAACCCCTCCTACCCTGTCCCATAGTGTCCCCTTGTCCATTAGTGTTCTTTAACTCCTCCTCCCCTTGTCCATTAGTGTTCTGATCCCATAGTGTCCCCCTCCCATTGTCCCATAGTGCACTTTCCCTCCCATAGTGTCCCCCCCTGCCCTTGTCCCATAGTGTCTCCCCCTCCCCTTGTCCCATAGTGTCCCCCCTCCCCTTGTCCCATAGTGTCCCCCCCTCCCCTTGTCCCATAGTGTCTCCCCTCCCTTTCTCCCATAGTGTCCCCCCTCCCCTTCTCCCATAGTGTCTCCCCTCCCTTTCTCCCATAGTGTCTCCCCTCCCTTTCTCCCATAGTGTCCCCCTCCCCTTGTCCCATAGTGTCTCCCCCCCTCCCCTTGTCCCATAGTGTCTCCTCCCCTCCCCTTGTCCCATAGTGTCTCCCCCTCCCCTTGTCCCATAATTACTTACCTGTCTTGGAGCGTGGGCTGGCTTCACAACGCGCTCCGCGGTCCAGGAACTTCTATTTCAGGTTCCGGTTTCCGGCGGGATTGAAAGGAAGTGTGCACACTGAGTGTGCACTTCCTTTCAGTCCCGCCGGAAACCGGAACCTGAAATAGAAGTTCCTGGACCGCGGAGCGCGCTGTGAAGCCGGCCCACGCTCCAAGACAGGTGAGTAATTCTTCACATTCGCTCCATAAGACGCACAGACATTTCCCCTCACTTTTGAGGGGAAAAAAAGTGCGTCTTATGGAGCGAAAAATACGGTATATCCCTGAATATTCTGTTTTTGCAAGTATGCATCTAGTAGCTGTTTGAACATCTGTATGGACTCTGATAAAACCATTTCTTCAGGCGGAGAATGCCACATCCTGATTGTTCTTACAGTAAAAAAAACCTTTCCTTTGCCTTAGACAAAATCTTCTTTCTTCCAGTCTAAACGCATGGCCTCGTGTCCTATGTAAAGTCCGGTTTGTGAATAGATTTCCACACAATGGTTTGTATTGACCCCGAATATATTTGTATAATGTTATCATATCCCCTCTCAGGCGACGTTTTTCTAAACTAAATAGGTTTAAATTTGTTATAGCCTTTCAATCGCCCAACACTTCAAGGTTGCACTCACAGATTTGTTGTAAAAAGCAAGCCCTCAGGGTGCCTCCCCTGTGGTATGGGGGGTATGTCCCACTGCTGATGGTAGCTCCAATCTGAATACCAGGAAGGTCACACACTCCAAAAGGTATGGATGTAAAAAGTATTTATTGGCATAATTTGCTAAAATAATATTGTTAAAAAACGGTCCTACACCTTCCGTTCCCTTTAGGAAACTTCATCAGGGTCAATATTATAAAAATACAATAAAATACACTAAAATATACAATCAAGCGTACCAACAAGCCTAATACCTCCCTCCCTGTACTCCCCTTTGATTGGGCCAGTTTTCCGTCGGCAGATTACCTCTGTATTTCCCTTCCTCAGCTGTTCTTATTAGCCGGTAAATGGTGCGCTGTAAACTTTATGCCACACTTCCGGTAAAGTGGACGTCTTCCCTAATATATGATGCACTTCAATGCTTTCCACCGTTCCGGCTAACTGATATGGCCATGCGTTCCATTGTGGTCTATTATTAGTTTTCTTTTCATCACCCTCTGGTGGTCGCCAGGGATATTACGATAGTCCATAACTCTAAATATAATAAGTCAATGATTCCGTTTTTATGTGGAGAGAGAAAAAAAACACACCAATTGACTCTGCAAATTTCTATCAGTTACATATCAATTTATATTCCCAATCTATTCACCAACATGCCATTTTAATCTTAAACAGTCTTATAATGATTTTGTTCCCCCAAATCTTCTTATAAAAAAAAAAAATCATTATAAAAAAAAATCATTAGAAGAAGAAGATTTGGGGGGGAATCATTATAAGACTGTTTAAGATGAAAATGGCATGTTGGTGAATAGATTGGGAATATAAATTGATATGTAACTGACAGAAATTTGCAGAGTCAATTGCTGTGTTTTTTTCTCTCTTCACATAAAAACTGAATCATTGACTTATTATATTAAAACCACTATCTAGCCCCCTTGGCCCCCTTTTCCTCCCTAAAGATAGTAAAGTCTTACATGTATTCAAATCTGAAGCTGCTGCCTCTGTCTGTGAACTTCCTCTGACCTCTGACATCATCAGAAGTGGTGGCCTGATCCAATCACAATGCTTCCCCATGAGTGTGGGTGAGACTGACAAGGAGGCAGATCAGGGGCAGAGCCAGCACAATTCAAACACAGCCCTGGCCAATCAGCATCTCCTCATAGAGATGAATTGAATCAATAAATCTCTATGCGGTAAGTTCAGTGTCTGCATGCAGAGGGAGGAGATACTGAATGTTTGGATGCATTTTAGGCAGCCATAACCCAGGAAGGATCTCTAACAGCTATCTGAGGAGTGGCCAGTGAAGTTATCACTAGGCTGTAATGTAAACACTGCATTTTCTCTGAAAAGACAGTGTTTACAGCAAAAAACCTGAAGGTAATGATTTTACTCACCAGAACAAATTCAATAAGCTGTAGTTGTTCTGGTGACTATAGTGTCCCTTTAAGAGTTATGGATATCGCAATATCCCTGGCGACCACCAGAGGGCGATGAAAAGAAAACTAAAAATAGACCGCAATGGAATGCACGGCCATATCAGTTAGCTGGAACAGTGGAACGCATGGAAGTGCGTCATCATGGGAAGACGTCCACTTTATCGGAAGTGTGTCATCAGGGAGAGGCATGTGGTTTACCGCACACCATTTACCGGCAAATAAGAACAGATGAGGAAGGGAAATACAGAGGTAATCTGCCGACGGATCCAATCAAAGCAAAATATGAGAGAACGCCCACCACACCTCCAATGGATTTCCAGAATCCACCTTATTTAAGGTGAGTACAGGGAGGGAGGTATTAGGCTTGTCGGTACACTTGTTTGTATATTTTAGTGTATTTCTATAATATTGGTCCCTGAGGAAGTTTCCTAAAGGGAACAAAAAGGCATAGGACTGTTTTTTACCAATATTATTTTAGCAAATTATGCCAATAAATACTTTTTGTAATTGATTTTGTAATGAAATATATAAAGCAAAATGTATGCCTGCTTTTTGTATTTGACAGGATATTTCAGGCATATACATACACCTTGGGTCAGACAGTGTTTGATAACTGACAGTTAGTCTCTATGGCCTTCCCTGTTTCTGTGCTGGGAGTGAAGCATGAAAGACCATAGAGACTGTCGGCTTTCAAACACTGCCAGACCCAAGGTGCATGTATATGGCTGAAGGCCTGTCATACACTAAATGCACGCATGAGTTTTTATCATTTTTTTGCATATACTTAATTAAAAAACCTTAATGAAAGTATTATTGTATTAAAAATAGGGTTAAGGTGTCAGTTGTACTTTAAATAATGACCATAAAATTACACGTGCAAAAATCTAGGATGTTTTTTCTATGGGACAAATGGTCAGAATGCCCAGATATTAATCATCTTCAATGCATCAAGTGGTAAAATGCAGGACAGGATGGAGCTGAGAGAATAATATCTAGATATATTGTAAGGTTATTTAATTCCAGCTACAAAATAAAGAATGTGTGTGTGTTAGCTCCCTAATGTCCTATTTTACAATTTTTCTCTCTAAAAAAAAACACATGTTTTTTTTTCTACTACAGCAAGTCAACAATATTTTTATGAAACCTATCCATATTTGTTATTTCATACATAATTCATATACTGTCTATCTAGTACGGATATGCATGATGATATTGTCTGCTACATACACCAATTATGCATATTTTAAATTAAAGTACACAGTTTACTTGATAAATACACATAGAATGGCAATACAGGGTTTTTACATTTTGATAACTGCAGAGCAAAAAATTGGTTGACTGTAGACTTTTGCATTCTTTTTTGGGCAAATTCCAATGTGTCCGTATTTAGGCCAATCTATGAGTCCTCAGAATCCTGTAGTAACGTAGCTTTGGTAGTATAGTTCCAGCTACAAAATAAAGAATAAGTTGTGTGTTATCTTACTGATGTCCTCTTTTTACTCTATAAAAAAAACCAAAAAATTTCTACTGAAGCAAATCAACAATATGTGCATAAAACCTATCCATATTTGGTATCATAATTGAAATACTGTATATCTAGGATGGATATGCATGACAATATTGTCTGCTACATACACCAAATACACATATTTTAAATTAATTGATGAATACACGTAGAATGGCAATACAGGATTTTTTAAATTTAAACCAATGCATGCACACTTGATAACTGCAGAGCGAAAAAATAGTTGACTGTAGACTTTTGCATTCTTTTTTGGGCAAATTAAAGTGTGTCTGTGTTTAGGCCAACCGATGAGTCCTCAGAATTCTGTAACTCCGAAGTGCTGTATAGACGTATAACCAAACTAACAACTTGCATAATGGATGAACATGTTTCTTTGAAATGTGATTTCATAATGCTGTCTGTGGCAGCAAAAAAAATATTGATGATTGATGGGGAAAAAAGATGATTGATAGTGAGGTGAGAGCCACTTGATATTGATTTTATTCACAGGTATTGTTTCAATAACCATAACAATAACTATACATAATATACATAATAGATAATAACTATAACAAAACGGAAAATACAATGAATGTACATAATCCATAAATGTATATTAAATCAGTACTGTAATAATAAAATATAGCAGTTGTAAAACTAAAATATATTGTGTGTCTTATAAAGTTACTGTGTTTACATAATTATTTATTTTTAATTATATTTAACCATCCGGGCTGGTGTGTATATATATATATATATATATATATATAAACAATAATCTTGCACTCCACCTTTAAATATATACAATGCCCGGTGCTTGTCAGCCAAAAATAGCAGAAGATAGCACTCCAAGGACTTTAACTTTTATTTACCTCGAATAAAAATCACAGTCAACGTTTCAGCTTGATCCCCTCAAGCTTTCATCAGGACACACCTTTTGTTTTTTTTAGATAAATATATATATATATATATATATATATATATAGTTAATACAATGTTAAACAAAAATCTGCACACCAGTCAAGCCATAAGACTTGCTTTTCCCACAGAAATCCGAAATCTGCAGTGATGTTACAACCGCAAAGGATTCTGGGTGGGCATATGCAAATTAGTTTAACAAAGAATCACATTTTTGTCTCATTCCATTTTAAACATGGATTCCTTTTAATCTGTGTTTGCAGTATACAACTGCTTGGAACACAATTTAGGAAAAGATGCAAAACCAGTGAACCACTCATGGACAGCTGTTTCGTTGTTAATGCAACTCTTCAGCATGAGTTTGGTTACTGGTTTGCTTATTGAGGCTTGGTAGTGCTTGGGAAGCAAAATCCAAATAGGTTATGGTGGGGAAAAATTGTGATTGAAAATCCCTTCCACCTGAAGTCTGTGGATAGTTAATACAATGTTAAAGGACCACTCTAGGCACCCAGACCACTTCAGCTTAATGAAGTGGTCTGGGTGCCAGGTCCAGCTAGGGTTAACCCATTTTTTTTATAAACATAGCAGTTTCAGAGAAACTGCTATGTTTATAAATGGGTTAATCCAGCCTCTAAAGCCTCTAGAGGCGTTTGCGTGCTTCTCACTGTGAAAATCCCAGTGAGAAGACGCCAGCGTCCATAGGAAAGCATTATGAATGCTTTCCTATGAGACTGGCTGAATGCACGCGCAGATCCTGTCGCGAATGCGCATTCAGCTGAAGAGGAGGAGAGGAGGCGGAGGAGGAGGAGGAGAGCTCCCCGCCCGGCGTTGGAGAAAGAGGTAAGTTTAACCCCCTCCTCTCCATCCAGCCCGGCGGGAGGGGGACCCTGAGGGTGGGGGCACCCTCAGGGCACTATAGTGCCAGGAAAACAAGTATGTTTTCCTGGCACTATAGTGATCCTTTAAACAAAAATCTGCACACCAGTCAAGCCATAAGACTTGCTATGGCTTGCTTTTCCCACAGAATATAGATAGATAGATAGATAGATAGATAGATAGATAGATAGATAGAGAGATAGAGAGAGCGTTTTTTTAACTGAATTTAAAGAGAATTAAAATGGAATTCCAAGTTTAAAGCCAAAGTAGCAAAAACTGAATGCAAAGCTGATTTAGATACTTTTTTCCATTTAAACTGAACCCCAAAATAAACTCTTTCTTTAGTGCTGCATTTATGCACTAAAAGCCTAAACCTAAAAAAAAAAACTCTATACCATAATCCTAGGTTTAACACACCCTGTACCTCAGTAGTAAATGTAACCCAACTCTTCCACTTAACTGAATAATTCTAAACACATCTTATACCAGAACTAGAACTCGTATTAAGTTTGCAATTCTGTTATATCACACATTTATCAAATACCAAAATACGATTTTTAAAAGGTGTTTATGCCTGCAATGCTCAATTAATACATTAATGAAAGCCGCTTTGTCACCTGGCATGTAAATTCGGCCCTGAACCCAAAGCATTCCTTATATTATATGTCTTTAGATTGGTGTCTACATTCCATGGTGTCTTGTGCATTTATATGCAAATGTGGTGAACAGTTTCTTGTATAAAAGACATCTCAAAGAGTTTGCTATTACCGTATATACTCGTGTATAAGTCGATCTCATGTATAAGTCGAGTGCAGTTTTGTGACCAACAATTGTGAAATAAGCTATGCCTCGTGGATAAGTCGAGGGTAAAACTTGGGGCTATGAAATGCTGTGATTTTTATAATTATATACACACACACTCATACAAACACACACTCTGCATTATATATACACACACTCATACAAACACACATTCTGCATTATATACACACTCATACAAACACACACTGCATTATATACACACACTCTGTATATAATGCAGAGTGTGTATATAATGAAGAGTGTGTGTTTGTGTAGTGTGTGTGAACTGGGTGGGGGGAGGGCATTTTTATTATTTTAATTTTTTTTAATTTTAATATTATTTATTTATTTATTTTTTATTTTTTGTCCCCCCTCCCTGCTTGTTAACCGGTCAGGGAGGGGAGCTATCTTAATCCCTGGTGGTCCAGTGGCATGGGCTGTGAAGTGGGGGGGCCGGCAGGAAGCATTTACTTACCTTTCTTGCAGCTCCTGTTAGCTCCCTTCTCCTCCGTTACGGTCAGCTCCACTGTAAGTCTCGCGGTCTGGTTGCCGCGCGGATTGTTGCCACGGCTTTGGCGGCCGCAGCTCTCTAAGTTGCCATAATACAGACAGTGACTCGAGTATAAGTCGAGTGGGGGTTTTTAAGCACAAAAAATGTGCTGAAAAACTAGACTTATACTCGAGTATATACTGTAGTTAAAATGTTGGCTTTGAGTTATGTGGAATGTGGTGGGTTTTTAAAATATTTAAAATATTAGGTTTTTACTGCTGTAGTTGCATACATAAAATTGGGGTAATAGTATGGATAAGGTTATATCTAACTTTTTGCAGGAGATCCCACAAAATGCTTTTCAAATGATTTTTCACAAAAACAGGAGGATTCATGGAAACAAGAAGAACATTTTATTTCTGTAGATAATTTCTTGAATATAAAATTGCCAAATGTGGAAAAAATTGTATATGTCATTTCTCATACTGCTGTTATTCTAGTAAAACAGAAAAGGAGTACCTGCAAGCAAAAAATAATTTTATAAGCCCCCCCAAAAAATTACAACGTCATAAGCAGTCAATTGTTTGAAAAATTTGATCTCTAGGGAAAAATTTAGTTTTGCTCATGCCTAGACAGAGTCCTAAATTCTGGTACTCTGAAGAAAGAAGAAAAAAAAAAAATCAGATGACAGTTTTCATTTTTAAAAGTTCTACAGTTGTAGTGATAATCATATATATATATATATATA